CCAATACCTGGGCTCAGTGAAAGGATGGGGAGCTCAGAGAGGGAAAGGGTTTAGTGAGGAAAGAAAGGACCAGAGAGAGTGCACACAGTGAGAGTGGATTCAGAGAGGAAGGGGATAGGATGTGCTCAATGAGGGAACAGAGAGATCAGTGAGAGGGTGGGAGGAGCAGAGGGGCCTATGACAGTGATGGGCTTATTAGAGACCCCAGCCTGACCCAGCCTAGGTCGTCATAGTGGCTTAGTGCCTGCTGACACCTCTGGGTTTCTGCCCCCTCACCTTCCTCTGGGTCATGAGCCCAGGAGGGCACAGCTCCATCCCCAAAGGCCAAGTCCTGTTGATTCCATGTCATCCAGAATGGGGCTCTCAGGGGGCTTAGGCAGGTGCGCCAGTTCCAGGTTGCCCAGGCTGATTTTTGGCCTGGGAGAAAGACCTCAGGGGCCATGTGGGCCTTGGCTCCTGAGCAGCCCCAACCCCCAGGAACTCCCACCCTGCCACCAAAAGCCAGCCGTCTGCAGCACCACTTCCTGGGCAGTGAGCCTGGCCTCAGTCTCCTGCCACCCCCACCCTGGCCTACTGCCCACTGCAGAAGCTGCTCTGCCAGCTGGAGCTGGTGGGCAGTGCCATAGCTCCCTTAGCATCCTGCAGGGCCTGTGAGAGCCATGAGGCAGCCTGGACCCAGTGAACAGGACCTTGGGGTACAGGCAGCTTACTGCACTGAGGAGCTCTTGGCCTTCATTTTCTAGCATTGAGTACGGCCTGAGGCTTTGAGGCCTCTCCCCATAATGAGCCCCTTCCCACCACATTCCCCCGGACTCCCCAGGATGGAGACAAGTAAAAGTAAGTTTCATTGAAGTGCTTTGATTTAAAAAAAAAAAAATGACACATCTTTATTGTACAAGATTTGGGAAGCGGAGAAAATAAGAATCATCAAGATACCTACGACCCAAAGAGAGCCACTGTGAGCAAAGCAGGGGGGAGAATTCCCTTCCAGGATTCTGTCCCTGTGTTCATAGGTACTTAGAGTTAAATAACTGGGAAGATGCTGTTGGGGAAAACAGCATCCTCTTTTTTCACTTTATCATGAAAATTTTCTGATGTCTTTAAAGCTTCTTCAAAAAGCTTACAATCAATGGCCATATGAAGGCTGGGCATGGGTGGAGTTGCTTCCCAGGGAACCAGTGAAAGCTGCAGGGAGAACCTTGCCCCTCCTTTGCCCTCCTGAGTGGGGCACACCTTCAGGGGCTGCTGGCTATGGTTTCCCCTGGAGAGGATGGCTATGGGGCTGTGACAGTGTCAGCCAGGGACTGAGGTGGGCCTGTGTCCTCAGTCCACCCGCTGTCAGTACAAAGGTGGGCAGGGTCAAGGCTTCTGGGGGAGAGGGAGCATGAGGGAGTCATACATCCCCTGAAGAGGGTGAGAGCCTGGATCCAACAAAACCTTAGAATAAAGAGCTCAGTACTGGAAATCTGGCAACTGCTAATCTTCTGGGCTCCGATCTCACCTGGGCCCCAACCTCCACAATCAGGTCTTAATCTTCTCCTGTATATGGGCATACTGATACCTTCCTCCACGTATGCCGTGAGAAGTGACCCAGGTGGTGGGTCTGAATGCTCCTGAGGAAGGAGAATACCCAGTGTACTCCCCAGAGACGGTGGTCATGTGAGCATGTGACCACACAATCAACATCTATCACTGCTCCCTATATTCTGGGCTCAGTGGGAACAGTGAGGACACCCTGACCTTGAGGAGCTCCCAGACTAGTGGAGGGAACTGACAGTGATGACCTATTGAGATTCTACTGGGACTAAGATGTCCACAGTGATGTGGCAGCCAAAGAAGGCTTCTGGGAGAGGGACATTGAAGTTGGACCTTGGAAAATGACAGGGAAGGTACCAGACAGAGCAGACGCAGGCATGGCACTCCAGACAACAGCATGGGCAACAGCACAAACGTCCTGGTGAACTAAGGGGACAATGAATGATCTAATGTAGTCAGCACAGAGGGCAT